GTGTTGTCCAGTATGCTGACGACACACAACTGATAGTGACAGGCAGAAAGTGTGACTTACCACAGCTCGTCGCCTGTATGGAGCACGCACTCGACATGTTGTACCAGTGGTTTTGCTTCAACCGGATGAAGCTCAACTCCAAGAAGACGCAGATGTTAGTGCTTGGTACCCCCTCAATGCTGCGCAATGTACCACCTGTGACGTTGACCTTCAATGGAGATGTCATTCCAGACTCAGGAGTAGTTAAAAACCTCGGTGTTCAACTTGACAGGTATCTAAATTTTGAGGCTCAGATTGACAATATGTCCCATAAGTGCGCCGGTATTCTGATAGCCCTAAGTCACGCACGTCACGTCATACCTAGACCTGTGTTAAAGGGCATCACAGAAGCTCTAGTGTTATCCATTGTGCGCTACTGCATGTCGGTGTATGGGTCTTGTACTAGCACACAGCTGCACCGTGTACAGAAGACAATCAACTTCTGCGCACGTGTCGTGACCGGGAAAAGGCGATGTGATCACATCTCTGGTGCCATATCGAGCCTCGGCTGGCTCACGGCCGAACAGTTGGTGGCTTACCATACCTTGTGTGCAGTCGAGCGGACGATGAAGTCAGGTCATCCGGACTTTCTTCTTAAGACCTTCGGACAGCGAGCCCACCAGCGGCATGATCATAACACCAGGCGAGCGGACTCGTTTACCCTTCCGGCCATTCGTGTGGAGGCCGGCAGGCGGCGACTCTGTTACCGCGGTGTGTCGCTGCTGAACGACAGCGGCATTGAGCCTGGCACTTTGTCTTTCCGGGCAGATGCCAGGCTGTTCGCTGGATCCCTCTGATTCACGATATCGGTTCTGGTGCGAGTGTATGCATGGTATGCGAATGTTTGTAGTCATTTCCGTGTGTCTGTTCCAACTTCCCATTGTATTACCATTCAGACGCGAGTAAGTGAAAAGCCATGTAATCGTGGATCTTATTCAAATAAATCTGTTCATCTTGAATCAGGCCCAATTCCAGAAACAGTAATGATGGGACAGATCTACTGTCTTCATCGATCACAACCAGATGAGCCATTACCTCTGGCACGCTCGCCAGGACACAAAACAACAAATTAGACACCGGGAAACATTGCAAAGATCCTCCTCTGTGACACAATTAACATGTGTTTGTATGTATGCCAGGCTCCGTGTCGATATGCGCGAGTAACTTGCAGCTCTAGCACCTCCAGATCCCACACACACACACAAGTTTAGCCACCAGCCAGCAATGACCTGCGGCCTGACGGGCGGGCCGCAGTGGCGATGGCGATGGTGGGATCGCCATTGGTGCCCGGGGGCACCGCACGGCTCCCAGTCGCCCGGCCACGTGAGACCGCCGACCGTTGAGTCGCCACAGGCGCCGTCGTGGTACCGACAGCAGACAGGTATCGACAGCGAGGAGCAACTGAATAGTTACAACAAACATATGCATCATACGAGTCCAGGTCGGACAATAAATATAAACATTTCATAGGTTTCACTATAACATTTTACTTTTAAATTTGCACAGGACCTAGGTATCGCAGTTTCATTTCAAAGAACAACTAAATAACTATAGACGAATATCATGTCGTCAAATAACTAACAATTCAGAGCCACCCGTCATTACTTCCTAAACCACGGCAGACCTCTACGCGCCGGTAGGCTATGGCGTGCCCGCGGCATTATCATCCAGCGACCTTTGTTGGCACAGGCCATTCATTTCGGCGTGGTCCGCATGGATCTGGCCGAGAGCCGACACCGGTGACGGCCGGACGTTATTAAAGCACGAATGACGTCACCCCCGGCACGCCAGCTGACTGGCAATCGGCCTTATGAACAGCCAATTAGGATACGACATGGCGGAAATGAGAGTGAACTTCTCATATGGTGGAGGGGAGGCATAGACTGGACTTTGGAAGTCAAAAACGGGAAAGTGGGATGGCTCATGATTGTGACATTATAATAGCTCATGCTAATTTACTTCAATGCATCATCATTCATGAATGTATCTACCAAGAATCATGCATAAATCTGACTTATCTGGAACAAGTGATGGGCAAACATGTGCAGATCTTACACATCATAACTTTGCATGAACTTGTAACTTAAAGTATCATTAACATAATCACATGTTGTCACAGCATTCTCATTATATTCTAGAGAATGAGGCCTATCTGCCATTTTATAAAGTGAAAACACTTGCTGCACCAAATTGTTACTTAGCCATGTGGGTCTGCAAATCACAGCTTATCCAAGTGATTTACTTCTTATGTAACCATTTTCTATAAAAATCCACTTACCACAGTGGTATTAGTGCAATTATTTAGTAAGGGATTTTATTAAATCATGATTAGCCCAATCATGTGTGCATTTTGGCTGCAAATCAATATCACTGATTTTACTTCAGTGACATAAGAAAGATCCCTAGTAACTCCATGATATTATCAAACTCCACTCAAGTAGCTACCTATAAAATAGGTGCATGAATTCCTTTCCAAATCCTGAATAATGGGATGCAACAACACATATATTTTCACTGCTACATGGGTATCTCCAGAGTAACATGGACATTGGATAGCCATGTCATTGCAGCGTGTTATCAACCATTACACAGGTTGACTTCCTAGACCTCCTTGCCATACCTTTAATTCATGGCTCAAGTTGCCCTCCTTGGCAGGCAAACTGGTAGGCTATAATTAAGTTTCACCACATGATTAAATTTGCTCAAAAACAGATAAAATGCATTTGCTGATTGCAATATGTAAGCTTTGCCATAAAACATTCTGAATATGTTGAACATGTATCAATGGCATCCTTTGATAATTGATACCACCTAAAATGCAAATATAATTTAAAAATCTTACAGTGATCGGGGTATGAATAAGGTAGGTACTAAGACTTGAAGTTGCCTGTATCATCAAATGGTGTCTATACTCTGGCACAATGCACTGAAGTTGTGCCTATTGCAGCTCTTTTGGGTTTTAAAGGTGTTCAGTAAAGAAACAAACTAATGGATTATTATGTCAAATACAGCAGCTAGCTTAGAACAAATCCAATGACTAGTGACTAAATACATTTTTTTTTTAATGGTTAGATACCCTAAGGTACCTAGGTAGGTACATATGTAAACATCCACTAGGCATGACAAGGTCTCAATAAAATAAAAGTGTCTATAATAATGGGTGTCAACTCACAGTCAATAGGAGGGGAATTTGGACAGTTTTCTTATTCTTAGCTATGCTCCGCATGCTGAATATTTTCATTTGGAATTGTAATAACAATATCTTCCCCGCATTTTATTTTGATTTGTATGCAATGTACCTATATGCAAGCTCAACAAGGTACCCCTAAACTGAACCCGCTTTTAACCTCAGTTCATTCTTTTAGCTCTGACCTTTAATGTAATTGTCTCTTTGAGCACAGCATGGGTTTTTTTAATGGATTCGGCACTTGGAAACCACAAATTGCACAAATTGCTTTTCACAGATTAACAACTTGAGCAAAGATGTTTGTATTTGACTCCCAGTTCCCTGACTCACAATGAGTACTAACCTATATTTACAATCCCACAGCATCACTCGACTTGTCACTTGTCAGGAATTCTGTGTAACTAAACTCAACATCAATCGCAGGGCATTACCACCGTGCCTACTTCATCAGTGTCCAAAAAAATTGCAAACATTATTCATCTCATCCATTCAAAGCACACCAACCAATTTTCTCAGTCAATCTCTCAGCAACTCTTGTGCTGTGTTCAAAAAGACATTAGCAGCATCAGTCGGGGGAGGTTTGGTCAATCGTTGTCATTTTTAGCACGTGCTATTTTTGTCACACGTGCTAAAAATGACAACGATTCTGCTATTTTTTACAACGATGAGGCCGATTTCACTCCTCAGCGAGGAAATGAAGATTTTGGAAAGATAAACACTGATTTTGGAAAAGAAGTGCTGCCACCTGGTGCAAGACGAAGAATCCAGCTTTAATATGCCTGTTATTTGTATGGTAGTTTGTTTTGTGGCCTGAAGTTGGAACTTAAAATTGAAGCATCCGAAAATGATCGATATTGATCGAAAACATGATGTTGATGAAAAAAATAATATTTTAAGTTGAGAGAGGAGGCCATTTTATCCAGATGCAGTAGTTTACTTCTTGAAATTATTTTTGCTAATGACGGCTGCTAATTATCCCTCATTACATGGCAGTCGTCGTAAGCAAAAATAATTTCAAGAAGTAAACCACCGCATCTGGATAAAATGGCCTCCTCTCTCAACTTAACATATTATTTTTTTCATCAACATCATGATTTTGATCAATATCGATCATTTTCGGATGCTTCAATTTAAAGTTCCAACTTCGGGCCACAAAAAAGGGTATACTTCAACGTTGGACTACCATACAAACAACGGCCATATTAAAGCTGGTTTCTTCTTCTTGCACCAGGTGGCAGCACTTATTTTCCAAAATCAGTGCTTGTATTTCCAAAATCGTGATTTCCTCGCTGAGGAGTGAAATCGGCTTCATCGTTGCTAAAAATAGCTGATAGCATTGTCATTTTTAGCACATGGTTGCCAAAAATGGCATGTGCTAAAAATGACAACCATTGACCAAACCTCCCCCAACTGGCATGGGTAAAACATAAGAAAAACAAACTATAGCTCTCTTCAGCACTTCTGCACATTGAAAGATGGGCCGAACTACAAATTTATACTGCATATACATAGCTACATTATTGACATTTATCAACCCTGTCCCTCAACAAAATTGGTACTTCCATGGAAATATTCCTGGCAACGTGACGGGCCACAACAAATGTTCGATTGGGTGCAAAATAATTTGAACCTGAAAAAAACATCAGTGTAAAAATCCTGCAAAGAATGTCATGAATTGACATTGGTTTCAACATCATTTTTACATATTTGAATACTTTCAAACAAATATTAATTTCTCATGACCCAGGACGGCATTTGTGACGCAGTTACTTACCAGATTCCCTCTTTGTTGTCAGTCTTCTTTCCTTCACCCCCATCCGATCCATTTTCATCCCTGAAGCTTTTAGATGAATCCATGTCTTTTTTCGCAGAATAACACCTATAAGAAGCAGTATCCTCACCACACACCACACTCTACAAACAACACGAAGGCGTAGCCCGCGTCAAATTCGCCGACTTTTGTCATCAAGGAGCGGTTCTTCTGCGGCGAAATGAAGGCAGTGGGTGAAGGCATAACACTAGTAATTCAAAAGTTGCTGTATCCTCATATTAGAACCAATATTTTCCACAGATGATATTAAATTCTCAAACCATCTACGGGAAGATTTATGCTTTATGTGCAATATTTGACTCATTTTCATACGTCATGTTGCTAGTGCAGAGCCAAACTGGTTTAAATGGCTGAAAAATGAAAAAAATTAGACGACTGGTTACTAGCATAACGTAAAACCGTAAAACTGCAAAACGTTTAGGCATAAATAGGTATCTATCGTAATTCGTAGATATCTATTGCAATTTGGATTTTATCATCAAACGTGTAGCCCCTGCATGTACCGCCGGTCACCGCTAGGCGCGTTTACTTCCACCGGTCGCCGCTAGATGCTGTGAACCGCGAGTTACAGTTTTGTTAACAGGTGTCGCTTTTACCAGTCTCTAAATTGCTAAAGCCTTCGATTAAGTTGTGCGCCCCCCTTTTAACGTTCCGTTCGCTTAAACTGCTGTATTGTTTGGACAACTGCATTGGCTATGTGTATATTAAAAACCATATGTATTCGTTTATTACATTCGATGTTCTCGCCAACATGTGTGCAATACTAGATAAGTAAGTTCGTATGTAAAACTATATATATCTCGATTTTGTGGCGAAATACAAGAGATATCTGTATATTACAGTGTTTCTACTGGCTACACCAGCCAGATTGGTGACCCCGCGTTCTACGCAATATGGGATCGCTATCCCCTCGTGTTCCCTGGCACACCGACACTGGCCTGCACCCTGAGCTATCTCCTCCAGCTCTCTTTGTGTAGGAAGGAAGTGGCGGATGGTGTGTTTCCACGAGGATCCTTCTTTTGTGCTGTGTGGAACTGAATAACGCCGACTGCTACTGCTGCACTACGATCCAGCTACTTCATCGGCTCACCTTACCGTCCGGCTACCTCTGCAGCTGCACCGCAGCACCTGCCGATCGCCGTGTCGCCGTCGCCGCCACCGATCTTCCCGACCATTGCTCTCGGCAGCCATGGACCAGAAGACCCAGCCTGCCGGCGCCGGTGCAGCCGCCGGCACCGGTGCAGCCGCCGGCGCCGGTGCAGCCGCCGCCGCCGCCTCGCATGCTGCTGCTGCTGCCGCTGCCGCCCAACCGGACTACCTCCGCGTGGCGACCGCGCCACGCAGCCACGTCGCGCCGCCGCGCTTCTTCGAGGAGGACCCCGTGATCTGGCTCGTCCAGCTGGACCTCTTCTTCTCTCAGGCAGCTGTGGACGATGAGCTCAGCCGCTTCCGGATCGCCGCTACTCTCCTTCCTGGCCACCTCCTGCGCGACTTCACCGACATCCTTCGCAACCCTCCTCAAGACCGACCTTACACCATCCTTTCCGACGCCATCCGTCAGCGGTTCGGCAAATCAGTCGAACAGCGTCTTCGCTGCCTGCTCTCTGGCCAACAACTCGGCGACAGGCGTCCTTCCCAATTCCTCCGGCATCTCCTGGACCTTGCTGAAGCTGAAGGCTCACAAGATTCCCCGCTCATCCGCCAGATCTTCCTCAATGCTCTTCCGCCTCGGACTCAGCCCTTCCTCCAGTGCCTGCCGCTTGGGACGGACCTTGCGACCATCGCTAGCACTGCCGACCGACTCCTGGAGCTTCCGCAGCAGTCGGACGTCGCTGCACCTACCTCAGGCCTTCTCGCCGCGGTATCGACTTCTGCGCCTGCTGCAGCCTCACCTGCTGCTCCTGCAGGACCCTTCCACCTCCAAGACCTGATGAGCCAGCTGCTGACTGGTATCACGGCCCTCACAACATCAGTCGCCACACTGGTGGACGAGACACGCCGCCGAGAGAGGTCTGCATCCCGTGCCCCCGGCCGCGCTCGCCACCGTCCATCACGCGACCTGTCTGCTGCTGCCCGGTCACCCAGCCCTGCAACCAACACGCCTACCGGCGCTGGTGCTTCCTACTGCTGGTACCACCACAAGTTCGGTACCAACGCGCGCTCATGTCAGTCACCGTGCTCGTGGTCTACAACCGCAACTCAGACCTCGGGAAACCAGCAGTAGGACAGGTGACACAGACGTCTGCACCTGCCCTGCTCAACCCTGACGTCCCTCCAGCCAGCGGCCTTCTGAGACTCAAGGACAACAACACTGGTATCACCTTCCTCATCGACACTGGAGCTGAGTACAGTGTTCTTCCAGCGACACCCACCGATCGTGCTCGCGGAACCAACGGACTGGATCTGCAAGCAGCCAACAACAGCAGCATCCAGACCTATGGTCAGCGCATGCTCACGCTTTCTCTCGGCCTCAGAAGAGATTTCAACTGGATCTTCATCATCGCGGACGTCTCCCATCCTCTCCTAGGAGCCGACTTCCTCTCCTCGTATGATCTCCTCGTCGACACCAAGAGAGGCCGTCTCATCGACCACCTAACTAGGTTGTCTTCACCTGCTTCCCACTCTTCAGTGCCATCCACCGGACTGACAGCCGTCGTCGGAACCGACAACCCAGCATTCCTTACCCTCCTTCGAGAATTCCCCAGCCTCACCCAGCCGTCACATCATCCGGAGCCACAGCACTCAGTCCGACATCACATCGAGACTACCGGCCCTCCAGTCTTCTGCCGCCCACGCCGTCTGGATCCAGCTCGACTCGCCACTGCCAAGGCAGAGTTCCAACGCCTCCTCAGTCTCGGAGTCATCCGACCCAGCAGCAGTCGGTATGCATCACCGCTGCACATGGTGCCCAAGTCGTCTGGAGATTGGAGACCCTGTGGAGATTACCGTGCACTGAACCGCATCACAGTGCCTGACCGGTACCCACTACCACATCTCCATGACTTCACTGCCTGCCTCGCTGGGACATCGATCTACTCTCGGCTCGACCTCGTCAGGGCCTTCAACCAGATACCGATGGCCCCAGAAGACATCGCCAAGACAGCGATCACAACGCCCTTCGGCGCCTTCGAGTTCCTCCGTATGCCGTACGGTCTCCGGAACTGCGCTCAGACCTTCCAAAGGTTCATGGATCACATCCTCCGTGGCCTGGACTTCGCCTTCGTCTATGTAGACGACATCCTCATCGCCAGCAGCAGCATCTCGGAACACCTGTCACACCTCCGAGAGGTCTTCAGCCGTCTTTCCCGCAACGGTGTGCTCCTCAACCCATCGAAGTGCGCCTTCGGCATGGAGAGCATCTCCTACCTCGGCCACCAGATCTCCAGCGGAGGCATCACTCCTCTCGACGATCGAGTCAGCGCGATCAAGAACTTCGACCGTCCAGAGTCAAAGAAGAGCCTCAAGAAGTTCCTGGGGATGATCAACTTCTATCACCGCTTCATCCCACACGCTGCTGCTCTTCTGGCACCTCTCCACGGTCTGACTGCCTCAGACGACCGAGCTGCTTCAGTCACGTGGACCCCAGAGGCTGACGCCGCCTTCTCTGCAGCCAAAGCCGCCCTCGCTGACGTCACCCAGCTCGCTCATCCCGTCAAAGATGCAGCTCTGAGCCTCAGCACTGACGCCAGCAGCTCGGCAGCCGGCGCCGTGCTCCACCAGCGAGTTGGTGGTTCTCTTCAGCCTCTCGCCTTCTTCTCGCGCAAGTTCACGCCCACCCAACGCCGCTACAGCACCTTTGGACGGGAATTGCTCGCCATGTACCTCGCCGTGCGACATTTCCTGCCCTATCTGGAAGGATGTGACTTCGAGATCCTCACGGACCACAAGCCGCTCGTCTTTGCTCTCAAGGCCAACGGCAACGCCAACCATTCTCTCCGTGAACAACGTCACATGGACCTGATTCTGCAGCACACCAGCAAGATCGGACATGTTCCTGGACACCTCAACCCGGTAGCTGACGCCATCTCACGGATCAGCTCAGTGTCTGCGCCAGCTTCTGCCGCAGCTACACCCTCACCCGGCCTTCTGAGCTTGGCCGACATTGCCCTACACCAAGCCAACGATCCTGACCTGCCGAAGCTGCAACAATCCTCATCTCTGGTCATCCGTGACTTCCCAGTCCCTGATCATCCGCATCTACGTCTCTGGTGCGACACCTCAACGGCCACACCTAGACCTGTAGTCCCAGCCAGACTCCGCCCTTCCATCATCAAGAGCTTCCACGACTTGTCTCATCCTGGCATCAACGCTACGCGTCATCTCATCTCATCGAGGTTCATCTGGCCCCACATCAACACGGACATCCGTGCCTTCGTCCGGAGCTGCCAGCACTGTCAGCGTGCCAAGATCCAGCGCCACACGAAGCCACCCATGGGCAGCTTCCAGCCACCTGACTCTCGCTTCCTGCACATCCATATCGACCTTGTCGGACCACTTCCTCCGTCCCATGGCAACTCCTACCTCCTGACTGTCGTCGACCGCTTCACCCGATGGCCCGAGGCAATTCCTCTGCCCACCATGGACGCCGTCACGGTGGCTCGGCATCTCGTCAGCGGCTGGATCGCCCGCTTCGGAGTACCCGAACTCATCACCACCGACAGAGGATCCCAGTTCGAGTCCCGCCTCTGGACAGAAGTCTCCAAGCTTCTCGGCACCTCCCGGATCCGGACCTGCGCCTACCACCCAGAAGCAAACGGGATGGTAGAGCGCTTCCACCGCCAACTGAAGTCAGCTCTGCGGACCGATGACGACGCCGCTTCCTGGTCGGACCGACTTCCTCTGGTGCTACTCGGAGTGCGCACGGCCCTCAAGGAGGATCTCGGATGCACCGCTGCAGACCTAGTCTATGGTTGCAGTCTCCGACTTCCTGGTGACTTCCTCTCCCCCATGTCGTCGGACACTTCTTCTGATCCGGCTTCCCTAGCCTCTCGTCTCCGTGCCGCCATGTCGGAGCTCCGTCCAACTCCTCCTCGTCCTGGCTCCCGCCAAATCTTCATCTCTCAAGACATGCAAACCTGCTCCCACGTCTTCATCCGACGCGATTCGCATCGCTCTCCTTTCCAATACGTCTATGACGGTCCTTATCGTGTCCTATCCCGCGACCAGCACACCGTCACCATCGACCGTCTCGGG